GGAGCAGACACCTTTTCTGCATAAACTCAACATTTGACCAATATTCTGAGTCTTTCTCCATCTTAGAAGGCCTTCCTCATGTTTCAGTAAAAATTCAAAATGCCAGAATGCTGAGGTTAGCAGTGCAATTCCCTATGGACTATGCTACCAGAGCTTTCTTTATTATTCAAGGTTGAATTAAAATAGCAATCAGTGCTGCCATGCATGTAATTTTCCATTTGCTTTGTGTACAACCGATCTTATGGTAAGTGCTTAGCAATTTGCACAGCACATGGGCACAGTGTACATTCTGAATGAATGAGTTACAGACATTTTACAGATTCCTCTTCTAATTATTGAAGGATATGGCATTATAAAATTTTCAACCAATTATATTCTTTAAGGAGTAACTTCAAAAAACACCCTATTAAAAAGTGAGGTCAAAGCACAATTAAAACATTGAGTTGATTAATGGGAATGCATTTGTATGTATATGGGACAGACTAGTGGTAAGAAATTGCACAGCTGACCCAAAGGCAGGCATTTTAAATTCACCAGCTACTCTGTGGATGAAAATGAGTAATTTTCTCCTGTGCAATTTGTAGCTTCTAAAAACTCTCTGGAGGGTCAGCTATGAGTCAGTTTTGACTTAATGGCATGTAACAACAACATAAATATATATGACCCTCTCCTATAGACATACTCCTCACCACATCTCTGCCCCTTTACTTCTCTCTCACACACTTGCATGTAGGGAAATATACATAAATTTTAGAATCTTTAAACAGTGTGGCAAGATAATTTATTAAGATATTCATGTGTGTATTTCTGTCTATAATCCTATTCCCTCTCATTCTTTTGTGTACCCTTATTTCAGGGAAATTTTTCTTACTTGATCAAAGAAATGGCTTATTTGTGAAATGTTTTCCCTCCTTGTTTTTGTTTCACTAAATTTTGAGCTCACAGAAAAGAATCTGATAAATATTTTTGAAGGCAACAAGATGGAGAGAGAGAAAGATAGAGAGACTATACTCAGTGTATGGTACAGAGGTCTAGTCTGATTGAGTCTAAAAAGCCCAGGCAAAACTTTTGAGAGAATGACTGCGTGGCTTCCTGAGAAGTTCATCTCTGCTGGAGCCCCATCCTCTACCATGGTTCTTCACCCTACACAGAGAAAGGAAGCCCAAAACCTCTAGATTTTAGAGTAAAGCAATGAGGTTTTTAGACTTGTCAGTGGCAAACAGAGTAGAATTTGTACATTGACAATAATTGTATAAACGTCCTGGATTATGGAGAGATCCTGGGACAAAATCCAGGAACAGTTGAAATTTCGTTTCCTGAGTTTAGCAGACTGAGGGCTGAAATTTGGATTGAATATGGTATAAAGAAAATAAACTTTTATTTATTGATAGCTGATTTAAAACTGAAAAAAAAAAAACAAACAACAAACAAACCAAAAACACACTAAAAAATTGATTGCCATAGTGTCAGAACTGACTTCTAACTGACACTCTAGGAGGTTTTTGAGGCTGTAAATCACATAGGAGATCACCCATGTTTGGCCTTCAGATCTGCTGGTAAATCCAAACTGCCAGAGAATTGGGTTATTAATTCTCAAAGCTTCTTACACACTATATCCTCAGAGCTCCCTGTAGCTGATTCAGGGGACTACAGTTCATTCTGTTTTTCTTTTGTTGCATAATAACACAATATAGGAAATGGCTATAAGTCACTGTAAATAAGGAGGGGGAGGGGGGAAGACATACGTGAGAGAGAAGAAACATGCAATCCGAATCCCAGGTGAGGAATTCATCCCTATGAAGGTCCACCACTGGCTGTAATAACGATCAACTTACCGTTTGTTCATATTCTTTTTCCTCTGGGCAATCTCTGCCATCATACTTCTCTCTGAGGGCAATTTACTCAACCCTGGAAGAGAAAAAGTGTCTGACAGAGTTCTGAGGAAAGGGCTTGGGGACAGGGTTACAGTTTGTTGAAAGGATGTAAAAAACACCCTGAAGATTTAATTTAGCTGCTCTTTAGGATTTATTTACATACCTTTGAACACTCTTGTGGCCCAGCGAGACTGGAGTTCTGCAATAGGTAGGATGATACCCAGAGGCTGTATAAGACCGATGACAGCCAGTGTGGGCTTCTCAAGGTCCGGAGGGAAGATAAGTTTATACAGGGACACTTCATTATTAGAAACTTTGATCAGACCGTCAAGGAAGGGAAAAGAAAAACTATATCCTGTAGCAAAGATGACAACATCAATCTTCTCTTCTATGGTGCCATCATCAAAAATGGCATCTGTCTCTGTGAACTCTTTCACATTGGGCTTCATGCAGACTTTTCCAGAGATGATGTGATTGGGCAAGTCATCGTTAACAGTTGGATGCTGACTTAAAGGCCTGAGTGTGAACAGAAAAAGCCTAAGTAAGTGAATTTATATAAAAAAGGTGTGCCTGTCAACTTTCAGCAAGGCAATAGCCATGCTTATAAGGTGAACAAAAGCACCAGGGAGGTCCTCAGTCCTTAGGATGATCCAAAAGGCAGGCTTGCCCAGGAAGAAAGCCCAAAAAGCAGGAAGGGACAAGGATAGAGGATGAATAGGAGGAAGAGTCACGAGAGTAAGTGGGAAGGGTGCTGTTAAAATGTGGAGACTCATTAATGTCATGAACAAAATCTATATGAAGGATTGAGTGGAAAACAAATTGTTCTATAAACTGTAACTCAAAGCACAAGTTTTAAAAAAAGTAATTAAAAAAAAAAGACATGCCTGTTTTATTTTGTGCTTGAGTTGCCGGACTATTGTTAAGTGCTGTTGAGTTATAGATGACTCACAGCGACCCTATGAATGAAAGACTTGAACACTTGTATAACTTTCATCAATTCTCCAAGTTCATAGGGTTTCCAGAGGCAAGTTATTTTGGAAGTGGATGCCACTCCGGCTTCCAAACTTGTTTTAATCAGGGAGCGCCACCAAACACTGTCCACCATTGGTAACCGTTACCATATTTGACACATCAGTGTCACAGTGTTCAACATCACAGCAACTACAAGTTACCTCTGCATGGCAAATGGACAGACAAGTGCTATACCACTTACAAGAATGTTTGACCAAAACCAGTTAAAAGTAGGCCTGAGTGCCACAGATTTAAATTGCCCACCATTGGCTTGGTGGCATCACTTTCTATCCACTACACCAAGAGATCTCTCCCTATGTTGATGTGAATAAACTTGTTGTGTTAGCAAACTCAAATATCAAGATTAATCATTTCTTCCTGAATCTGTCTTTTTTTATCTACTAGGTCAGTGATATTCTTAAGCACCAAAACCATTTTTGTACCACCTGTGAATCTCTGTAGGTCAGCTTAAGTTTATTCCTCTATTTCTGGAACATGTGTACTTATTTTCTAATTCATATTACTCTCATTGATTGCTGACTTCACTTCCATGGGATTGATTTTTCATAGATGACTTTCTAGAGCAAAGGTCAGCTATTGGACTGATCCTGATGGAGGCTGTTCTACAAGTGGTGGTTAAAACATGAAGTAGTTCACGTCTATGGCCTCAGGATAGAGAAACATACCAACAGTGCTTTCATTGATGAGGCTGCTGGCAGAAAACTCCTGGGAACAAGAAGTATCGGTCTCACAGAGGATTCAGTCAACCATTCATCATTTTTCTTAACATCACCAGTGTTAGAGAGACCAAGTGATATTTATGCAGGGTTAATATTGACTTGTACCAAAGAGTTCTATGTGAAGTTCTTCCTAGAACTGGCCATTCTCTATTCGAATTTCCTGAAGCTGATCTCTAGACACTTCTCTTACCCATGGGGGATAAAAACTTTCAGAGAATGCAAGGTTTTACTTGACCCCTGCTGCCCTTAGACTCAGCAGCTTTTTGGCTCATGGGAAGAGATAAATAGAGGTGAAATTAGAAAGGAAAGGGAATCATATTCCTGTTATTATGTTTCCAGATTGTTCTACTTTTTCTTTGCATTTGAGGAGTTTTGAAGAATAGACAGTAACAGTAATAGTAACAGTCATGAAATTATGTTTGTTGAACCAAACAAAAAAATATTTGGTCATATTATTTATGTTTTTCCTGATTTACAGCTCAAACTCAGCCCTTCTGAGTTCGAAACTCATATAATCAGTTACCTTCTTGTTAGTCATCTCACATGATGGTCTCATAAGGATTTTGGACTTAACAGGACAAAACAGAGTTCTAAGTTATCACCTGTAAATTTGTTCTTTTTCTATCTGCTACCCAATCCAAATGCATTAAATGGTCTATTGTTGTTGCGTGTAATCATTTGTTCTTGATCATCAGTTCATTGCCTTCAAGTCAAAATGACTCTTATCTGATCCTCTAGCAGGTTTTCCAAGGCTGTAAATGGTATGAAAGCCTATTGCCCATCTTTCTTCCACAGAGACACTGGTGTGTTCAGGAGGTACTTATGCCTCCATTGAGTTAACATTATGACTGACTATGAAGGAACCATGCCACCAGAGCTGCTTCTTTTACCCATGTTGTTGTTGAGTACCATCACGTCTGAAATGACTTGTAGATGACTCACAAGCAGGTTTTCAGAGGCAGTAAATTGCAAGGGAGGAGATTGTCCAGCCTTCTCCCATGGAATAGCTGGTGGATTCAAACCACATGCCTTTGGGATTATAGTGTAGTTTCTTAACACTAGGCCATCAGAGCTCCCTTATTTTTCTTTAAACATATACATACACCAATTAAATAAATTATGGGAGGTTTTAAGCATATACACATAAATAAAGACAAATTATTACCTGTGCTTAGGTTGGAGCCCATAGTGTGCGTGATTGAATCTTGAGTTCAATATTTTTTCAAGTCGGTTATTGATTACAGCTGTGGTTGCTATTTTCTGTAGAAAACTATTGAAACGAGTGAAGAAAGCAGTATCCATGGGATACCCATTTTCCCAAACACGATGTAGAATCCATGCTCCTCGTCTAGTACTAAGAAATACCTGAGAAGAAAGAAAACAAACTGGTAAAGGAGATTGGAGGAAGACTTAATCACAACCTATGAGATGCAGGTGACACAACCCTGCTTGCTGAAGTTGAGGAGGACCTGAAGCACTTGCTGCAGAAGGTCAAGGACTGCAGCCTTCAATATGGATAGAAGGTCAACATCAAGAAGACAAAGATTCCCACCACTGGGCCAATTGGCAGCACCATGATGGAAAAGAGATTGAGGTTGTTAACAATTATTACTTGCTTGGTTCCACAATCAACACCTTTTTTAAAAAAAAATTCGAAACCTTCATATTTATTTACTTGCTAGTTTTCCATAGAAAGGTTTTCCTTTTCAATTCTAATCTTTTTTGGGTAAGTATAGTAACAATGCAGAAACTTTTATTTTCTAGATAAGGAAACAAAACAAAACAAAAACCTCTCTCCATACCCACACATATATTGTTCATTTTACTGGGAAAACTATGCCATTAAGAAAGAAACTATACACTCAATAAGTATTTGTTGTTATTATGTGCCGTCGAGTCACCTGTGACTCATAGTGACCCTATATACAACATCCCTAAACACTGTTCTATTCTGCGCCAATCTTATTGTCTCTGACACAGCTACCCCCATTACCCCACTCACTGAATCAATCCATCTCATTTAGGGTCTTCCTCTCCTGAGATGGCCCTCCAGCCTCCCAAGCATGACATCTCTTTCTAATAACTGGTCCTTCCTTGCAACATGTCCAAAGTATATCAGATGAAGCTTCAGAATCCTTACCTACAAGGAACAACCTGGTTTCACCTTCTTCAGGTCAAACTTGTTTGTTCTTCTAGCAGTCCATGGTAATATTCAATACTCTTCCACAACATTGCATCTCAAAAGCATCAGTTATCCTTCTATCATCCCTAGTCACTGTCCAGTTCTCTGATGCATAGCAAGTGATTGCACAGACCATGGCCTGTATCAGGTACACCTTAATGTACAGACTGACATTATTGTTCCCTTGCTTTGTTCTGACATCTGCCACCTAGTCAAGTACAGGTTTTGAATAAGCACAATTTTTTACTTTTCTTTTTTATAAGGTAAAAGTGTTATTTTTCTTTTTTTAAAATTAATTTCAATGAGCATTTACAGAGATTTTTTTATTTCCATTCATTCATTGTTCAACTTTTCTCCCTGCCCGTCCCCCCCAACCCCCAGTTCGTTGTTCTCTTTGAAAAGTAGGAGAAAAATTCCTTCATTGGTATACAATCCCCCCCACTCCCTCACCCCGAGTATACTCCACTCTGTAATGCCCTAAAATATATTGCTTTTAAACTTTTATTCACTACATTTGGAACCCTGCTTTTTAACTTTTTTTTTCTATTTAGTTGCAGAACACAGTCAACACTCTTAGCACAAGCAGTCAGGAAGTCAAAAGACGAATTGCATTGAGAAAATCTGCTATCAGGGACCTCGCCAGAGTACTGAAAAACAACTATGTCAGTTGAGAGTCTAAGGTGTGCCTAATCCAGGCCATGGTCTTTGCAATTACATGTTATGCATCAGAGAGCTGGACATGACTAAGGATGACAGAAGAATAATCAACGCCTTCCATTATTGGAGAAGAGTCTGGAACATACCATAGACCACCAAGAAAACAAATAGTTCTGTCTTGGAGAGGGTGAAGCCAAGTTTCTCCTTGGAGGCTAGGATTTTGAAGCTCTGTCTCACGTACTTTGGGCATGTGGCAAGGAGAGACCGGTCTTTGAAGGACATCATGCTTGGAAGGGTGGGGGGACAGCACAGGAGAGGAGGATTCTGGACAAGATGGGTTGATACAGTTACTTGGACAATGGAGGTAGGAGTGTTGGAATTAGTGAGACTGGCTCAGGACAGGGAAGAGTTCAGAGCTGCTGTACATAGGGTCACTATGGGTCACAAGTGACTCCGTGGCACATAACAACAACAACAACAACAATAACAGAAGGAGATAGAGAGCTCTCTAAATAAGGTTGTTTTTATTAATATTTTACCCCTTACCAAGCTTTACGAATGCCATCTAATGAGGAATAACTCAAACTCATTGTCATTCAGTCAGAACCAACCTGAGGCTGTAAACCACACAGAAGATTTTCCGTCTGTCTTCTTTGGAATAACTAGTGGATTTGAACCACCAGCAGAGTGTCTTCTTATAGACTATGTCACCATAGGAAATAAAATACTATAGTAGTCACCATTCAATGCTTTACCACAATGTTTTATTGAATTCCTGAAAAAGGTGCATCTATCATGTATCAGAGGAAGTTCTGGTGGCTTAAAGGTTAAGGAATTATACAGCCAACCAAGGTAAGCAGTTTGAATTCAGAAGCTACTTTGTAAGACAAAGATGGACAATCTCTTCTTGTATGGTTTACAGCTACTGAAAACCCACTGGAGGGTCAGCTATGAGACTCAATGGCAAGGAATGGATTTTTAAAATGATAAAATGAATTTCTGGATGAGTAAAAGTCATTCACCTGAATGCTTCTAAATTATTATTTAAAAAGTATTCCTGAAAGTAGAGACAGTCACGATTTATACAGAGATAAGGATTTGAATTTAGAAATGAATTAGTAATTGTTGTTGTTGTGTATTTTAGGGTTGGAACCAACCCATAGCTGACCCTGTGGTGGGTTTTCAGAGGCAGTTTATAGCACAGGAGGAGATTGCTCATCCTTCTCCTTTAGAGCAGCTGGTGCCCTCAAACTGCATGTCTTCAAGATTGCGGTGTAGATTCTTGCCACTAGGCCACCGGAGCTCAATTAGTATTTTTAATTTTATAGCTTAGGTATGTATATACTTGTTTCTTTATTATTTGCTCTTATTAATACAGTACTTGTGTGTCAGTTGGCTGTACTAGGTTAACTTGTGGGTTGCTTTGATGCTGAGAACTAAACATAAAGTCACCAATGGTGGACAGGTACCAGCAGAGAGCTTGCAGATTAAGACAAACTAGGAAGCAGAATTGCCTATCCACTGCTGAGATAGCAGACATCTGAAAAACTTGTGAACAATAGAGGAACATGGGTAACTATAGTTTTAGAGACAGAGTCCAAATTGCAAGTCAATAAAAATGAGGAGAAACAGCCAAAATATCCTTTAATAGCTAGAACACGGAATGTATGTAGTATGAATACAGGAAAACAAGAAGTTGTAAAAAATGAAAGGGGATGAATGAACACTGACATTATAGCCATTAGTGAGATGAGATAGATGCATTGGCCACTTTGAATCAGTCAATCATACAATGTAATGCCAAGAATGAAAACACAGAAGAAGAATGATGTTTCATTTATAGTTAAAAAGGCAATTTCAAGGGAGATATGGTAGCCTAGTGGTAAGAACTTGTACTGAAATCCTAAAGGTTTGTGGTTCAAATCCATCAGCTGCTCTGTGGGACAAGGATGGACAATATTCTCCCTTGAGGTTTATAGTCTCTGAGAACCTGCTGGAGAATAACCTAAGAATTGGTTCTAACTTCATGGCACCTAACAACACCACCACCATCCTGAGGTACAATGTTGTGAGTGATAGGATAATATCCATACACATATAAATAATACAACTGTTATTCAAATATATGTACCAACAGCTATAGTCAAAGAGGAGGAAATTAGAAATTTCTACTGAATTTTGCAGTTCAAAATTGATGAATCATGCAATCAAGGTCTTTTAATTGGTGAGTCGGATGCAAAAATTGGTATCAATGAGGAAAAAATGGTAGTTGGAAAGTGTGGACTTAGTTACAGAAATGAGACTGGAAAAGATACCTTTATTAAAAAACACACAAAAGACAACTTTATAAATTAACCTCACCTGATGGGCTGTGTATGAATCAGACTGACTATATCTGTGGAAGAAATCATTGGAAAAGCTCAATATCCTCAGTCAAAACCAGGTCAGCTGCTGACTGTGGGCCATCAATTAATTACATCCAAGTTCAAATTAAGGCTGAAGAAAATGAAAACAAGTCCACGAGAACCATAATATGACATCCTACCTTTTTAAAAATTATCTTAAGAATAGCTTTGAGTCATTGGACACCAGTGTACTACCAGATGAACTGTGGGATGACATCAAGGATATTATCTATGAAGAGAGCAATAGATCATTGTAAAAACATAAGAAAAAAACCCCAACCAAACCCAAAATGGTAATCAGAAGAGATTTTGAAAATTGTACTAGAATATTGAGAAGCCAAAACAAAGGGAAAAGATGTGAAGTAAAAGAGCTGAATAGAAGATTTCAAAGGACAGCTCAAGAAGACAAAACAAAGTATAATGGAATGTGCAGAGACCTTGGACTGATGAACAAAAAGAGAAGAACTCACTTGGCATTTCTCAAATGAGAAAAATGCTAAAACATATTTAAGCTTTGAGTTGCAATACTGAGAGATGCTATGGACAAAATCTTGAATGATACAAAATGCATTAAAAGAAAATAGCGGAGTCATTATACCAAAAAGAATTGATCAACACTAAAATATTTCAGGAAGTATCATATGATCATGTAACAAAGTGCCAATGGTAATGAAGAAAGGAGTTCAAGCTGCATTGAAGGCATTGGGGAAAAAAAGCCCCGGGAATTGATGGGATACAAATTGACATGTTTCAAATTACAGAGAGACCCCTTTGTTATTCCTATTCCCAGTAAAGGTGATCCAACAGAATGTGGAAATTTTTGGAAAATACAATTAGTATCACATAAAAGAAAAATATTGCTGAAGATCATTTTTTTTTAAAAATGGCTAGAACAGTACACTGACAGAGAATTGCCAAAAGTTCAGGTTGACTTTAGAAGAAGTCCTAACAAAAAAAAAAAAAAAAAAGAAGAAGAAGAAGAAGAAGTCCTGGCACCAGGGATATCATTGCTAATGTCAGATAGATCCTGGTTAAAGCAGAAAATACCAGAAGAATGTCTATTTATGTTTTTTTTCCTATGCAAAGCCATTTGACTATGTGGATCATAACAAATTATGTCT